AAACTTTCAGCCCCGTCATCAAGCCTGCCACGGTCCGAATCGTCCTTAGCCTCGCGTTGTCTCGTGGGTGGCCCATCCATCAGCTCGATGTCAAAAATGCCTTCCTCCATGGACAGCTTCAGGAAACCGTGTATGCTAGCCAGCCCTCAGGATTTCAGGATGCAAATCACCCTCATCATGTCTGCCGGCTCAAGAAAGCTCTTTATGGTCTGAAACAGGCACCCCGGTCATGGTATCACAGATTTGCAGGCTTCATTTAGACTATTGGATTTCGCAACTGCAAATCTGACACTTCTCTTTTCGCCTTCACGCATGCCTCAGGGACCGCCTACCTCTTATTATATGTTGATGATATCGTCCTCACTGCCTCCTCGCCAGGGCTTCTTCAGAGTCTCATTCAGAAACTCAAGGCTGAGTTTGCCATGACAGACATGTGTGATCTGCATTTCTTCCTCGGCATTAATGTTCATCGCACTGCTCAGGGCCTTTTCCTCCATCAGACACAGTTCACTCATGAGATCCTTGAGAGGGCAGGGATGGTCTCTTGTCGCCCCATATCCACTCCAGTCGACACCAAGGCAAAGCTTTCTTCCTCTTTCAGCACGGCACTTTCAGATCCTTCTCTTTACAGGTCCATAGTTGGTGCTCTACAGTATCTCACATTCACCAGACCTGACATCACTTATGCCGTTCAGCAGCTTTGCCTCCACCTTCATGCGCCCCACGACTCTCACCTCACGGCCATGAAGAGAGTTCTCCGTTATCTTAGCGGCACCGCCACTCACGGTATCTACCTGACTCGCTCCTCGACAGACTATCTCCAGGCTTATTCTGATGCTGATTGGGCTGGTTGTCCCGACACCCAACGTTCCACTTCCGGGTACTGTATTTTTCTAGGCGACAACCTGATCTCATGGTCTTCAAAACGCCAGGCCACCACTTCCCGTTCCAGTGCAGAGGCAGAATACCGGGCTGTGGCAAATGCAGTTGCTGAGACTTCTTGGGTCCGAAATCTTCTTCTTGAGCTCCAGCAACCACTACGACACGCCACCCTCGTTTTCTGCTACAACGTCAGCGCCGTCTATCTCTCATCGAACCTAGTTCAGCACCAGCGCACTAAGCACGTTGAAGTCGACATACACTTTGTGCGAGACAAAGTAGCACTCGGCCATATCCGAGTCCTTCACGTGCCCTCCTCTTCACAGTATGCTGACATCTTCATCAAAGGACTACCTTCTCTACTCTTCCTCGAGTTTAAGTCCGACTGGGTATCAGACCCCCTCCTCATCCGACGTAGCCGGGAGCATGTTAAATATATTCTATATTTAATGTAAATATATTGTTTCCTATTATTGTCTCCTACCTTGTATAGGATTAGGAATATATTGTTTCTTATTATTGACTCCTACCTTGTATAGGATTAGGAACCCTTGTGTATATATAGACATGTACTCCCACATATTCAATCAATGAGATTAACCTTTCTACAGTTTGGAAACAACATTTTTTATTAGCGTTAGCGTTTTAGATAATTTTGTAACGAGTTATATGCAAATAGTCCCTGTGGTGTTTCTTAAGTAGATAAATAGTCCTCAAACTTTTAAAAGTTGTCAAATAGTTCATGCGGTCAAATCACCATAGCATAATTAGTTCATATATTAGAAAATTCGTAAAATGTACACAAGGCGCGTATATTATCATTATTATGCAAAGACGTCAATCATGTCGCCGTAAAAAAGATAATCTAAAATTTCAGTTGTGATGTGTAACTTTGAACTATAGTACACTATCTTCTATCTTTTAGTTTAACTCTTACAATGAATTCTCCGTCTCTTCTATAGTGATATTCTTGAATTGTAGTACAATGTCCTATGTGAGCTTCACATTATTTTGTTTTTCAAGTTGCTTTATTCTAAGGTAAAATCGTGTGAGAAAAGAGCAACAAAAAGATCATTCATTGCCTCTAACCACGAAGACGAGAGCAATTTCATGAGATAAACTTCTTTTTTTCACGCAGTACGTCTATGTTCTGTGTGCTATACGTTTTCTTAAAGAAATGACTAATTAATGCATCAGTTCTTTGACCACAAGAGCTATTTTGCAACTTATAAAAGTACAGAGACTATTTACCAACTTATGAAAGACCATAGAGACTATTTATGCATTTAAATCTTTTTTAACAGTACAGAAACTTTGAAACACTGAAGCTATATGTGCTTTTCCAATCTGATTTTTGATGCTATGGTCTTTTAAAGGTGGATTGGATTGGATGCTTCGATCAACTATGTTGCAGTTGTATTTTAGAATATAAAACACTTCATTATGTATTATTATAGATCTAGAGTATACGATTTGGTATTGTTGCATTTGCATATACGTGACAAATATATCTGTGTGTGACAAGCATAAATAATGTAGTCCTACTGTTTTTATCCTTTCCAAAAATCGCATTTATCCTTCTCAATTTTCATCTTTTGGGTGTTTTGGCATCCAAGAAGATCTTTTGTTTTTCATTTTAATGAATGCATTGTTTGATTAAGTTTTTTTCCATTTTAAGGTAAATTTCTATAACCATACAAAGTACTTTTTTAATTTGGTGGTTCCGATTGTGTCAAATTTTGACCATACTCTTTTCCTTCTAAATTAGTCGTCTTAGTTTCACTTCACATAGTTTTAGAAAAGTATTAGAATGTAAAAAAAGTACTCCGTAGTTGAAATTTGATTGGGAGAAAGAGAAATATTGTGGACCGTATATTATTTACAGAAAAAGACTAAAATAAGAGTAAAACATTGAAAATACAAAAATAAAAGTTTCATGTTTTTATTTTCAAAATAGGACTTAAAATGTATAGAAATTACCCTAAATATGACTAGAACATAGAGAAAAGTACCAAAATAAGACTTTTATGTTTTTTTCTCCAAAATAGGACTTTGCACTGTGGTAATGCGGTACTGTACATGTGTACATTGCTATACTTTTTGGTAATGTACATGACCATGTTTGGTAATGTAAGTCTTATTTCGGGAATAAAAACATGGAAGTCTCATTTTGGTATATTTTCAATGTTTTAGTCATACTTTTGTCTTTCTCTCAAAATGTATTTATATTACCAATCATGATCATGTACATTACCAAAAAGTAAAATAATATGCACATGTACAGTGTCACATTACAACAGTACGAACTCCTATTTAGGGAATAAAAATATGAAACTTTTTGGTACTTTCTCTAAATAGCATCACATTGATTTTTTCTCAATGTAGCACTTTTAGTCATTATTCAAGTAAATGTTTGCCATAATTAGACATTATGAACATTATTAAGTGTTATTTAAGGAATAAAATAGTTTAAATGTTATTTAGAAAATGACTTAAGTTTTAGAGGCTGTTTGGCAACTTCTGAATGGATAAGTGCTGAACCAGTAAGAGGTCTGAACCATTAAGTGCTGAACCAGTAAGAGGTCTGAACCATTAAGAGCTAGTATATTGCTTAACTATTCAGAGGCAAATGTCTGATCAATTCAGATAAGAGGTCTTAACCATTCAGACTCTGTATAATACTTAACCATTCAGAGGCAAATCTCTTAACCATTCAGACATCTGAACCATTAAGAGGCTGAAACAAACAGNTAAGTGCTGAACCAGTAAGAGGTCTGAACCATTAAGAGCTAGTATATTGCTTAACTATTCAGAGGCAAATGTCTGATCAATTCAGATAAGAGGTCTTAACCATTCAGACTCTGTATAATACTTAACCATTCAGAGGCAAATCTCTTAACCATTCAGACATCTGAACCATTAAGAGGCTGAAACAAACAGTCTGAACCATTAAGTGCTGAACCATTCAGACATCTGAACCATTAAGAGGCTGAAACAAACAGCCCATTAGTGCTATTTAGTATAAATATTTCAGGGAAAAAACCCTCTTCCGCCTTATTCGAACGCACAACATGTTGAATTAATTACTTGTATTAATGCGTGAACTTTCCTAATTCTTACTTTTAAACCCTTGTTTACTAGCGAGAAATTATAATTACACTATTCAACGTTCATTTTGTGAAACATACTCCCTTGGTTCCTTCGTTTAAAAAGGAATTTAAATTTAATTTTTCCATTAATAACAATATTTGGACACAAATATTATCAAAACTAAATGGTAAAATAATGATAAACATAATTTGTTGAATCCTTTCTTGATTGGATTTTGAGATCCATCCGCATACATAGAATATTTTGGGAAGGAAAGAATATTTTGGGTGGAAACCAAAGAACTAATTAATACTCAGTCCCAAATTAAACTTAAAACAGAAATTACTTAAAAGAAGAGGAGGCACACATAAACATGCACACGCTCGCATGCATTGGAACAATTGGCCGGCAGCGCCGCAGGGCAGCAGTGACTACCTCATTAATCAATCCCTTCTCAAGATTATTTTGGGAAGAGTAATTAATATACGGAGGACTACAAGTTGCTTCAACTACAATTCTCCATGACTCCATCTATGCATAAATCAAAAGGGCAAAGTTTATGCATAGATCAAAAGGGCAAAGTTTAACTTCTAAACTCCCATTATACATAAATCTATCTAATATGATTCTTAGACTAATATGCCCGGCCTTAATAAGCTAGCTTGCATGCATGTACGTATATATTGATACATACGTACGTACAACAATATATATATATATATATATATATATATATATATATATATATATAAATATAAATAATGGTTCCCCGGAAGAAGAAGTGTCGTAGCTACACGGTGGTGGCTCTGTGTTGTCTTTCCGCCATGCTTCTCTCCCTCTTTGGTACGTACCGTACTCCCTCCCTCCCTCCCTCCTGCTTTTCTTTCTCTCCTTTTTTTTTTATTTTATTTTTCTTCTGCTTTTAATTAATTATTAACATGCCTCGTGAACCTTTTAATTCAATTAACTGTCTCTGGATTAGTTTCGTACTATTGCTTGAATTATTTTTTTCCCATTTGACTTTCTTAGTTTCTTAGGTTAAGTTTCGAACGAGGAAAGTAAGTTATTTGCTACTTTTTCTGCCCCAAATAAACTTTTCCTTTCGTTTTTTCTTTGTCCCAAAAAAAACTTCTCTTTTCCCTTAAGAAACCACTTTTACCCCTTACTTTTTCATACCATATCTATCACATCATACATTTTTACTAATAATCTACCCATCACATCTTACTTTTATCCATCACATCAAGGATATTTTTGAAAAGTCAAAACCAATATATTCCTCCCTTAATTTCCCAAAGAGTCAATAATGGAAGTTTATTTGGGGACGGATGAAGTATTTTTCTTAATGAAAAAGAATTATGTCAAAGTTTTAAAAACATTCATCAAAGGGTCAAAATTTATTTATTTTCTTTTTCCTATTTTTGTTTACTTATTTGATAAAATAAAGAATAAATTCTACAAATGATCTCTAATTAAATGTGGGTTTTCATATTTAGTCATCAATTCTAAGATATTACATAAATGATCTTCAATTTTTGAAAAGTATTCCATAATTATTTCTATAAGTCAAACATCACAAAATATTTTCTCCACATATTATCTTTGTACCGATTATTAAATAGTTTTCTGAAAATCATTTATGAAATATCTTAAAGTTGTATACCAAATACTCCGCATAAAAAATCACACGTAATTAAAACCATTTATGGAATTACGTGAAAATAAAAGAGTCATGTAACTTCTTATTTCTTAGAGTGTTTTTATACTTTTAATTATACAAATGTTATTTTTAATTTGATACAATTTCTCAAAAAAAAAAGAAATTGAAAATAGCTACTCCCTCTCTTTTTTTAAAAAAAAAACTCTTTGTTTCATTTGTTGCATATCTTGTACTCGATCTCTCAGTCTCATAGAATTCTTCCTGTTTGATAAAAAGTGTAGCTTTAAAATGAGAAATTTTTGTATTGTTTTCTAAATTTATCCTTACTTTGTAATAGAGTAAGATGAGATGTAAAAAATAGATGAGTCATAATTAGAAAATAACACTAAAATTACTCATTTTAAAAATGTGTTTTTTTCCAACAAGAATGGTTTTATAGGACGGAGGAGTATAACACTTATATCTCATCTAAAATATCTAAAATACTCACAAAATAATTTCTACCCACAAGAAAAAAGAAATAGGTTGAATTTTGGGCGCACAAAAATGAAACAGAGACGAAAAAACTGAGATTGAATTGGTCTCTTTTCCATCTCACTTTAGAGACAATAATGAGACTGATGGATTGCTCTCTTTTCCTGTCTCTTTTTCACTTGCATTCTTGTAGTGTTATAGGGCCTGTTTGGAAATAGTGTTAGAGATTAGCGTTGGCGTTTTGGATAAAATTTCAATGGTGCAGATTACTTTGAAAACGCTAACGCTAAACGCCGGCCGTAGATAGCCTTTTCAAAACGCTAACGCTAATCTCTAACGCTATTCCCAAACAAGGCCATAAGCTTATAGATAATGACGGAAAAGATATGCGAAATTTTTTCTACAATTATAAAATTGAAAATTCATTTTGAATACTACTAAAATATAAAACCTTTTTCTAGACCTAAATTTGTGATTAATTAGTTTCATGATACTCCGTTTAAAAACTGTTTTTAGACCTAAACTTTTTCATGATACTATGTACTCCATATTAGAGTTTTATTGGCTTAGAAATCACAAATTCCAAACACTACAATAATAAATTTGAACTTGTTGAGTTAATTTCTTGACAAGTAATGCCCCTCTTGAAAGATGTGCCACATACACTTGCAGTTATTAAAGAGGATGAAATTTATTATCATGCTTTGGGAAATGACATGTAGTAATGAAGATGCATGGCGTCGTTCAAGAAACTAAAGAACTGCAACTCATCATTCCCAATGCTAAATACATTCCCACCCATTCTAGACAAGAAACTAGACAAGCTAAGGTGGTGTACCTACATCACATTTCTTAGATACATATAGAGTCACTCATTATTCGTGTTTCATATAGATAGTGGTGTGTTTGTGAGAAAATGATGTAACAATGGATTAAACCACCTTAGGTACTTCTAGGTTTTTCTAATTTTGATATTGTTTTTTCTAATTTTATCTTTACTTTATAATAAAGTATGATATGATGTGCAAGATTGACGAGTTATAACTAGAAAATAATTTCAAAATTACCTATTTTAGAATTTAGAGTGTGTTTTTTTTCATTTTTGAGATGTTTTATGAGACTGTGGAAGTATAATTAGCATAAGAGGAGTGATTTCTTAAACACAAAGATGAAAAAACTTCTTGCCAAAACGCGTGCACTAGAATTCCTATTTTTATTTAGAGAATTTACGTAAATAGCACTAAAACATAATGACTTTTTCTAAATAGCACTACATGTGTTTTTTTTCAGTGTAGCACTTTTAGTTATTATCCATTAGTCATTATTCAAATAAATATTTGCCATCACTGGTCATTATAGACATTATTAAGTGCTATTTAGGGAATAAAACAATTTAAGTGCTATTTAGAGAAATGACTTACGTTTTAGTACTATTTAGTGCTTCTTTTATTTAATGGGGCAATTAATATTCTAACCATAAATGTATATTGATAATTGCAACGTCTTGTTTTTAAATTAAAAAAACTTTGTTGATTTGATATTATACGGGGGTACTAATTCTTACGGAGTGAGTATGAATTTCATTAAATTACTCTTATCAGATAATTGCACTTGCAATAATGGTGAAATAGCCCCTTCAAAGTTTGGGTCGGATTTGGACACGGGTTCGGGTTGCACAAAGGACAACATAGAAGTGGACCAAGGCCAGACGTCGCCGTTACCCAACGGCATTCCCACCTACACCGTCGAGATAGAGAACGTTTGCATCGACGGCCGCCGGAGCTGCCGCATGTCGAACATCCACCTCCGGTGCGGGTGGTTCAGCTCGGCCAGGCTGATCGACCCCGCCGTGTTCCGCCGCGTGGGGTACGACGACTGCCTCCTCAACGACGGCGCGCCCCTCGACGCCGGCGACTGCATATCGTTCGTGTACGCCAACACCTACCCCTACCCGCTCGAGGTCTCCTCCGTTTCGTGCTAACTTCTTAAGTGTAATTAATTAATTAATTAACACGCTTCATATTATGATGATGTACTTACAACTAATTAATACGGAGTATTACGAATTCTGTATTTTCTATTTGGTTATTAGTAGTGAAATTTGCTCCAGATGGTAGTATGGTACCTATTTTAATATAGGGACTAGTATGTATTCTTAAAAAAGTACTCCTTTTGTCTATAAATTAATGTGTTTTTTTAAATAATTAACTTATTGATATTAAATCTATATCACTGCTTATTTTATATTATTTTCGTCTAAGAGTATTTGTCTTGTTTTAATTTTTTGCAGTTAATTATTTTTAACTTATAATTAAATAAAACATATATTGTATATTAATTATAAAAAATAATATTTAGAAAATGTTTTATTTATAAAATCTAATAAAATTATTTTTATATCAATATCTAATACCCCCTCCGTCCCATTTTATAACTCTTGTTTCGGTTTACGATGTTTGACTGAAATTATTTTCAAATCATTTTATTTGAAAAATGGTTATAGTTAAAAAAATAAAAATTACATATTAAAATACTACATCAAAAGATCTACAAAACCAGTAGTAACAATAGTACTTTATTTTATCAAATTGCTAACGAAAATAGAGAAAAAAAGTGAATGAAGTTTGACCATGAGAATAGTGAACAAACATTATAATTTGGGACAAAGAGAGTATCATTTTTATGTAATTATTTGATATCAAAGTTTACAAAATTTGACCGGAAAAAATTAAAAGTAGATAAATATTCCATGACGGAGGAGGGAGTATGGAGTATTACGTATTCTTAAAATAGTACTCCCTCCGTCGATAAATTAATGTATTTTTTCAAATTGAATTATAGATATTAAAATTGTATCACAACTCAGTGTATTTCTTCTTTTTGTTTGTAATTTGTTGTTAAAGTTTATATACATTGACTATAAAAGTAAAAGTGTGAAAATTAAGGTGGACAAAGGGAAGATGTATTTATTTAATAGGGAAGATGGTACCTCTTATTTTATGGGGACTAGTATGTATTCTTAAAATAGTACTCCATTCGTCTATAAATTAATGTGTATTTAATTTTCAATAATGAACTTATTGATATTAATTTTGTATCACTTCTTATTTTATACTATCTCTATCTTAGAGTATTTTGTCTTATTTTGATTTTTTCAGCCAATTATTTTTAAACTTTGACATATAACTAAATAAAACATGTATTGTATATTAATTAAAATAAATAATATTTTGAAATATTTTATACAACAAATCTAATAAAACTATTTTTGATCAATATCTAATATATATTTTTATTTAGTTAGGAGTCAAAGTTTACTAAATTTGACCACAAAACGGTACAAGTACTCTGGGAAGAAGGGAGTACGGAGTATTACGTATGCTTAAAATAGTACTCCCACCATCGATAAAATAATGTATTTTTTCAAATTAAATTTATTGATATTAAAATTGTATCACAACTCAGTGTGTATTTCCTTTTTTTTTTGTATTTTGTAGTTAAAGTTTATATATATATTGACTATAAAATTAAAAGTGTGAAAAATCAAGGTTGAAAAAGAGAAGAGGTGTTTATTTAATAAATTACTTCATTCCAATGTGTTGCGGCCAGTGGATAATACTTTGAACATTATATAAATACGTTTTGGTGTACCTTAAGAACTTTTCTTAATTTAAAGAATAACATCTCGTGTTTGAATATTTATTTATTTTTGACTTCAAATTTAATAAAACTTATACTCTATTAGGAAGTGATACAAAAATATTTTTAGAGATTTATTTTATAAAAATTTTTTAAGATATTATCGTATTTAATTAATATACAATGTATATTTTATTCTATTATGAGTTAAATGTTAAAAGTCGTTGACTATAAAAAATTAATTTCATTACACTACAAGATATTTCATTATTTTATTCTTACACTACAAATGTATGGTATAAAATGTTGGGGTACACTATAGTGCAACCCCTAACATTTTCCTACTTTTTTACCTGTTCTAAATATTAAGGGTCTTGAATAGTGAATACGACCTTTTTGAAAGAAACCCAAAATTATGTGTTTCCATTTGATCTAAGATCTTTTTGGATCATTTAATCCCTCTATCCAAGTCAAATTCTCTATTTTAATTTATGATATTTGACTAAAATTATTTTTAATTTTATTTACATAAAATTGAGATAAAATTAGAAACATAGAATTTACATATTTAAATACTACTTCACTCGTCCAAATTTATATCAACTGTTTCGGTTTACGATGTTTGAGCAAAATTTTTTTCTAATTCATCTTATATGGAAAATGGTGAAAAATATTTTTTTCAACCTGCTAAGGTGGACAGGTATGGGTAAAGAGTCTAGCCCATCATATCCGAGTCGGGTTAAACCCGCCCCATATAAATGGGCTAATAATTTGTATTAAGCTCGGCCCAGATCTAGCCCGAATCCTTATTTCCACAACAGGTCTACATAAAATCTATTGGATTTAAAATCTAAAGATTATTAAAAATAAAAATAAAAAAAATCTTAAAATACACCATTTTATATGCATACTATTTCTGCCTTTACCATACTCTTTTTTTTTTTGTGTAGATAAAAAAGAAGGAATCCATAAAAATGTGTGAAGAAAAGAAGGATGGTGTGCAAAGTAGTGGGCACGTAGCATTATTCTTTTGTATGTGTGGGTCCTCATTATCTCATAGGTACTAGGAAGGCGTAGTAGTTTGAAGCCTCGCTTTCATTTTACTTCCCAACCTTTACTACTTATATATACACACTCACACACACACACACACACACACACACACACCACTACTACGCCTACTACTAGTGCATATTTTGATACTTGAAGATGGAGAGCATAAAACACATATATAGGGCGGCCGGAGGGATGTGTTTTGACCGCACTCGGCGTCGCACAGTCAGACCACCGCTGCATCGGTTACATTACATTTTTTTCGCAGTTGTAATGTAACAGCACGTAGTACGGTGGCCGGTGTTGATAGTGCCACGCTGTGTGCGTTTGAAACTCTCTCTCTATATCTCTTTTCGTTCATAAGAAATGAATGCATCACGCTATTCTGTTATTTTTTTCCCCTATTTCGTTACGTCCCAAGATGTTTGCTTTTCCCCATCCCCGTTGTAAGATTTTGTGATCGTCCCAATCACGGGTTGAGTTTACGATGTTAAAAAAGAGGGTTATGCAATAACAACCTAGTTGGATCCCACGAAAGCAGGGTCTCGAGAGGTTGTAAGTACGCAAACCTTACCCTTACTCGAAAGTTGAGAGGCTAATTCTAAAGAGACCTAGGTAGCTAATCGTGCTTGAAGGAAAATAGCTAGGGAGGGGGCGTCATATTGGTTTGGGGGAAGGGAAGACGAGGTTCAGTGAGGGCAAAGGGTACATGGAGGTGGCCGGGAGATACGTTCATCAAAGGTGTGTCTGTGTGTGTCTGTGTACTGCTTGATAACTCTCCGGCCGGTCCGGGAGGCACTAGGATGTCTAATGCATCTTGGAATCGGAAGACCCTAAGGATGGGATTCATGTTTTTGTTTAAAACAAACGACAAGTAGACAGCAATGGAATTGATCGAGTGAGTAGTACATCCGTTTATTCTGTTTTGTCAACTAGAAACGAAACCGTAAAACGACTATGTGTATACGTATGTATGGCCTGTATGGGGAAGCAAATACACTGAATACATATGAACAGCTAGAAATAGGAAGTCAACCAGGTATTGCGAAACTTTCCTGAGTCCACTGCGGAGGGTCCACCACTATACAAGGATCCGACTTCTCAAAATCAGCAACCTGCAGGTTTCCATATATAAACATGGAATCCATCTATATAAGGAACTAATATTCTCTTATGTGCGAATAAGTGGATTGAATACTGAATGACACTATGGTTTTCTTTTTTATGCATGGTGATGATGGTGAGATTTTGTGCTTTAACAAACAAAGAAACTCACTTTTTCTGTGCAGCTTGGGCAGTAGTGATACTTATGCCAGAGGCAATCCATTGATGGACAAAGAAAGCAGACCCCAAGCATCATCGGCATCATACACGCGACACAAGCTGCTAAACTCGGTTTTGACCTGCCGCCGAGTATATATACAAAATGCCACAGATGTATATGTTACATGAGAAAGGTAACTGCAACAATAACTTTTGAATTTAATCAAGGCAACTAACTTTGAAGATAGTGCGTGTGTGTGTGTGGGTGGGTGTGAGGCTATCATATAGGTGGAGGAGACTGCAGAACCGAGATGGTCCTGAGAAGAGTTTGAGCTGATGTGAGCATCTAGAACATCTGCAAATTAGTGCCGGAGTCTTCATATATAGGATTACTCCTCAGTCGTCATTTTATATTATTGGTTTGAGTTGTGGTGAAGTTTAAGAAAAATAAAGTTGTATAGTTGAGATTTAATCAGAAAAGGGATGGAAGAAAATGAACAAATCATTCTTTTGTGGCAGCCCAAATAGGAATTCAAAGAGATCAAGAGTAACAGAGGGAGTGATATATTAGTTATATGAGTAGTTGTTTCTCTGAGTAGTATTAGTAATAGTTTTCTACAATACAAATTTTCTTTTTTCAATTATGTTCTTTATACAAATAACATAATTGCACCCAGGTTAGGACACTATTTACTCCATCATCAAGAATCCTGGAAGTAGCATAAACATAATTTTACTCCATCATACAAGCTTAATTACATAAGGCTTTGCCAAGGTGAGGTCGTTGGGTTTTTGTCAAGGTCCAAGGACTAGACTCTTCTTACACCCAAGGGGAGGTCGTCGTTGGTTTTTGTCAAGGTAAGTTATTTCTTTTCAGGGCTTCACATCCATGATACATACTCCAACAGGTTTAAAATATTATTGAGAGATCTAATGGATCTCTTCTCTTACTTGATTGATTAATGCGATTTAGTCTTTGCCTACCGGCTACCATTCTTTTCAAGTGTTCCATACTCTTTTGAATTTTGATGTATATGATTATGAGTGCGTTTGACAAACAACAGTTAGGAGATAGCGGTTAGCAGTTACTAGTAACATATAACCATTGACAGTTTGTATTAGCACATATGACTAGCTCAGTAATTCTTAAAAGATGTTTTGATAATTTAACAAAATGCTAAAATATTAAACCAAAATGCTACTCCGTAAATCAAGTCCATTATTACTTTGATATCACTCGACATTTGTGTATTTAATACACTAATTATTGAAACCTTGCTTTTATGTTTAGGATCCAAAATTGCAGTTCTTTGCAGTATGAAATCATCTGGAAAACAACGTTCACCAATAAGCTCTTCATGTGAAATTCATGCAATCGAATTATATTCTAATTTGAAAAGAAAAAGATAAAACCTCACAATTTCTCAACAAGTTTAAGCTCACATCAGTAAGCTTCAGTATTCATTCTGGAATCCAATGATTTTGGGAAGCTTGTGAAATCCATATCGTCCATTACCACTTAAGCTAAAAGAGCCACTTTTAACAATGTTCTAGCTTCGAGTAAATAATGGACTGAATCAAAATGACACATTAAGCTTCCATTGTTTCTTACCTTATATGAAGTTTTGGAAAGAACATGCAACAGTGCAACAAGCCTATAACAGAAACAACCTCTGTTTTTACAGATGATTAAAATTGAGAGCTGTAGAGACGATTTATTTATCAGATGTAGGTTTAAACTAGAGAGATTTATTCTCTTATTTCATTGAATCATTGATGGGTTTTACCTTTTTATTCATTGTTCCATAATCTCCTGATCTTGATGTATAGGATTATTATTATTATTATTACAAGTTGAATATGAGATCAGGAAGACCAACTAATTAAATGTATTATGACCTAATTGAGTTGAGTATTTCTCAACCCAATTATGAATTCAATACTAAATACTCATCTGGTATTTCCTCAATGATGAAACTTTGCTTTTATGTGTTAGGAACTTAGGATCCGAAATTTCAGTTCTTAGAAGTAAGAAATCATCGGGGAAAAATAGAATTCAACAGCCAAACAACTCATCACTTTTGATCCACGCAATCGAGTTAATGTAATTTGAAAAAAGACATGAAATCTCAGAAACCGCACAATTTCTACTCGAATAGGTAAAAACGAAGATAGAGCATAAGCGGGAGAGAATTACTTGACGACGGTGAGGCCGGTGTTTCCACAGTGGAGGCAGTTGAACGGTGCCGGAGTATCCCTGTACATGGTCTGCTGAATCGGAATCCCCATGGGATCTCCGACGATGGCGTTCGGAGGTATGACCCCAGCTTGATGAGGATTTCCGCTGGAGAAGTACAGCGGGTGCTGATGCGGTGGCGGAACCGGCGGCTGATAGGCCGGATTAACGGGGATTCCGATGGCTGGTTCGTCGGTCTTAGACATCGGTCAATTGGATGGGAAATACCATCCGCGTTTGTCTCAGCACACCTTCTATAAGAAATGAAGAAACTCCAAGTCAAAATCTTCTAGAGAAGTTGCCCAAATTTGACGCCTGGGTCAAGTAGTAACCCACTATTGAGTATTCAAAATAAGGGAAAGGTTCCCACGTGACCCGGAGCGTTCCGGTGCCCCGTTCGTAAAATTGACGATTCTTAATCATTAATCTTCCAGATAAACTTTCACCTCGCCCTGACCCAAACACACCTTCATCCCTTTAATTGCATTCCACAAATTGATTTTAACTTTCAAATTAAAATTTGACTCTAAAATGCTTGACTTTTTGGAATTAAGGTTCAAACACAAATTCCCGATGTGAAGGTCAGAGCTAGCTGACAATATGATTCTAATACAGGTACCCAATCATACACATTCCAAAATTTAACAAGGGTTGAAAATAATATGGGATACTTTAATCATCGATGATCATATTTTTTTTTTAATTCACAGGCTAAGTGTCTATATATCAATAGAAAACAATTAACTTGGGGATCAGCTGATCTGTGTGTATTCTTCCATGCATACTCGATCAAACTGCATTAAATTATACGGAGTATTTAGGATCAGGAGGAAGCGAGAACAGCCTCAAAGAAGGGGGAGCTGTCCTGGGCAATGGAGACGGTGGAGTACAGCCCCATCCCGAAGCTGCTCTCCGACGCCGACTTCGAACCTATCCTCTTCTTTATCTCGTCCCACGCCGAATCCACAAACTTCCCCGCCTCCCCGATCTCCGTGTACACCCGGTTGCTCGACCCCGGGGCCCACGAGTCGTCCCAGGCCACCACCACGTCCGCCCCGCCGGCGGCGTTGGGCTTCGCCCGGTACACGACGGCGGCTTCCGACCCGGAGGCCACCACGGGGCTCTTGACGTGCAGGAAGCCGCCCCACTGCCCGTTCTGGATGATCTTGGGGTACGACGACCCGCCGTCGGTGTAGAGCTTGCCGTACCAGTCCTTGGAGGTGGAGAAGTGGATGGACTCCCCGGTGGCGTTGTACACCATCGCCAGTACGGACACTCCGTCGCCGTATGACTCCTTCAGCTTCCTCACGTACTCCTTCACCTGCGCCTTCTTCTCTTCCGCGTCGATCTGCGCGTAGGCCGCGCTCGCTCTCGCCTCCCTCTCCGGGTAATCCGCCGCCGTGATGGGTTTCCCGAACACGTTCGTCGATGACATTTTTTTTTTATTTTCTTCAAATTTTATTTATTGCCAATTATATTAATTAATATAGTTTATTTAATTAACTTCTCCGCCAGAGGAGCACATATATAAATAAATAAGTGGCTCGGAGTATAATTTGTGACACGTTGAACACCAGCCTAGCGGAGATTTTGGATCATGGAGTGTTGCTAATAATGTTTTGTGGCTGTGGATATATGGATTTTGTTATTCTTTTGGAATTGTTCATAACTTAGAAATTACTCCCTTCGTCCTAAAATTAACTTTCCATTTGATTTTTCACGGTCTCCAATGCAACACTTTGACCATCAATATCTCAATTTATATATACATATATTTTATAAAAATTATATATTTCAAAACTATATTTCAAAATGAATCTATTGTTAATAAATTTATATGAAAATTTAATGTATTTTTTCTGTAATATACAGTCAAAGTTTAAAAAGTTTGACTACAAAAGTCAAACTGAGAAATTAAATTTAGGACGGAGGGAGTATATGCTGTATTAATTGGATAATAATATTTTGAAAATCTTGTACTACCTCCGTCCCAAAAAGATTTACACATTTTGACTAAAGTTGAAATTAAGGGAGGGATAATTTTGTATTGACTTTCCAAAAATACCCTTGATGTGATGGTAAAAGTAGGATGTGATGTGTAGATTATTAGGAAAAAAATATGATGTGATAGGTGGGGTTTGAAAAAGTAAGGGGTAAAAGTGGTTTTTTAATAGAAATGGGTAGGAGATTGTGGGACGCAATTTTTTTGAAAGGTGTAAATCTTTTTGGGACGGAGGGAGTATTAAATGAATTAAATACAATTCTTTTTCTAATATTTAATTCTAATTTTATTTAATTAGCAGTCATTGACATTGGGTCCTAGATTGATGGTCCATTGGGCCTATTGGACGTGTAGTCATTGACATTGGAGAGAGATAGACAACTCCTTTACTCTTCAATTTTAAAAATTTCTTTTTTGAAAAATCACGACATTCCAGTCCTTTCTCTGTCCTGTCCATTTATCTTTTGGGTCTATCAGATTAATCCATGTTTGCTTCGAAAGGAAAGAGAGTTGGTCCATTGAAAATTGTCACTTGTGAGAATCGAACCCACAAGGACGCTCACGAAGTCCTCATTCTTGAGTTCGTGGTCGATCATCCGTAGATTTAGCCAGTTAAATTTTGGTTCCAAATTTCTTTTTTTTTGTTGGGTTTCATTTTGTTTTTTTGTTGGATTTCATGTTGTGACTGAATTTGATTTGAGGCAAATTTTTGGGAATAATAGAAATAAAAGAGCCTTTGTGCTCATAAGATTGAATCCCGATAACGGAGAGTTCTATCCTTTGTAGTAACTACTTACGTGCACCGAACATGAGACAAATTCTCTAAAGAAAAATCAACGATTATACTATGAGCTAACCTCCTTACTATCCTATCGAGCCGGTGATTTATATAATTGAACTTGATTGAATTTTTTCATTCAATCTATTTAAAATTTGGTGTAAAGTAAGGGCATCAAGATTTTTGAACTTAAAAAAAATAATTTCAGAATTAACCAAGTATCCTTTCTTTAGACCAACTAAGTTGCCCATGCAGGTTAAGTTGGAGATGCTCTAAGTATGCTCTCCCCCGGACTTTATTTCTGTTCACTTGGTTTAATCAAAGTAGCTTTTTTTTTTGAAAAGAAAATTATTTACCGTGACTGATTAAAAACATTAAATGTTCTATAACATTAAAAATAAAACTTTCACTTTAATACTCCGGCTAGTCTTTGACGTCCGGTGTGAGTCAAAACTAAACTTTGTTTTGTGAGATCCGGTCTTGGATCTAAAAAACATTGGATGAAAGTCCCGAATCGAATCCAGTTCGGTCCGGTCCGGTTTGGAGGGATGAGGAGGAGCCCTAGCGGTGCGGGGGGGACAAGAGGAGGACAATGGGTACCAGAGAACTGGATTCGTAAGGTAAAAAGATTGCCTTTTTTGAAGATTCCAAAGAGGAACAAGAAAAAGAAAAAAAGAAAGAAAGAAAGGGAGAAGGCGTATCAATCTTGCCAAAGATCATCATATGTTCTTATTCTTGTGCCCCTCAAAAAGCCATTCCCTTTCAAGAAAGCTAACAGTCCAACCATGTGCATCCTCACTCTTTTCTTTTCTTTTCTTTTTTAATTAACCTTTTTTTCTTTTCAATTTTAATTTACCCAGTAAATTTAAATTCTTGATTTAGCAGCAGATGCACAAAGAAACTCGTTTTAAGTTTTAACCCCATTTTAGTACAGATACATTATATTAACACTGTGAACTGGAAGCCCACTCTTTTTTGTCTCTGTTTTTTTTTTTAACTGGAATCTGGAAGAGACTGAAATAGGGGGGTTGGACAAAACAACATCGAGCTGGTTATTACTTATTCTTCTGCAGGTGGTTATAGTACTGTAATAATAATCAACAAGAAGAAGAAGAAGAAGAAGAATAAGTGGGGAGATTCGAGGCTAATAAGGTTTTCTCTTGACACTACTGTTGCAGCAGCTGCTACTCTCCTCTTCGTGCTCGTCAACTGTTCGATTAAATGCCGAAACGACTGTTATTCCACTGGACCCAGACGAAGACGACGATGCCGGAGCTAGATTCAAATCCGCCCTTTCTCTCTCCATGAAATTGTAGAAAATTGGCTTCAACGGTGTCTTGTTCATCTCTTCTCCTTCATTCTTCTTCGCCCCTGCCCTCTTCTTCAAGAATATCCGGCAGAGCACCCAGTCATCCTGCACAAATATATATAATCAATACAAAAATAAAGAAACCGAATTTAAAACTCATTCATAAACTTAATCAGCCCAAACAGAGCCCAAAAGAACAGCGGGAATTTCTTCTTTCTTGATTCTTGATCAAAGATCGACCCTTTTTCTTACCTTGTGGTTGATGGGGGCATTGGCGAGGCGGTATTCGTGCATGATCCAGTCGGTGCGGGCGCCACGGGGGGCTTTGCCGTGGTAAAAAACGAGGGTCTTCTTCATCCCAACAACGCCGCCTCTGCAACTCCCGATCTGCTTGTCTATTCCGGTGGCCTTCCAGTACCCGGACGCCGTCCCTCTGCTTGACCGGTTCCCGTTCGCGTACTTGGCCTCCCTCGTGCTAAAGAAGTACCTTTCCTGCTCCTTATCCCCTGCACAACACAAATACTTAATACTCATTGGGTCTAACTCAAATCTAACAGAGCTTAGGGAAAAAAAAGAAAGAAAGAAATTGCCCGTGAAAAGAAGCTAACCTGGCAAATCCCAGGGATCGGATTTGCAGAGGTCAAAGACGGGGATGACGGCGGCGGGCAAAGGGCAGCAGAGTACCTTGCGCTTCAAGTACTGTACCACGAGCTCCTCGTCGGTGGGGTGGAACCGGAACCCCGGCGGCAACCGCATCACTCCGTTCTTCACAAAGCTCAGCTTCTCCATATATAGTAAGAATATATATATTATCTCCCTCCCGGCGACGGCGACGGCGGCGGACCAGGCAGGGAAAAGTAAGCTTCCCTAGCGGCGGAAGAGTGAAGAAGAGCAAAAACAAAAACAAAAAATCAAAGAAAATAGAAGAAAGTGGGAGTAGAAAGAGGGAGGGAATAGAATGGGAAAGGTGGGTGTGTCATGTGTGTGAGGTGAGACAGGGAAAGTATGGCCACTTTTATTTATAGGTGGTACTACACACACATGTACATTATTATTTAATTAATTATATTGATTTTGGTACTCAAGTAAAAAGATTATATATTCCCTCCTTTTAGAAAAAAAATATTCCCAATATGGGTTAGTATCATGTTTAATTGAGGTTAAATTTTCCATTTTATTTATACATAAACTAGTATAAAATTTTAAAAAATATATGAACATATAATTAAAAATTATATACTGCTCCGTATTAGATAAAAAATGATCAAAATATGACCCGACAAATAATTGGGAGTAAATATGAAATTCTTATTTAGACACATACAATGATACAAGTACTCTGTGTATTCTTTTTGTAAATTGACAATCCTGAATTTGACTGTTAATATTGAGGATCGTTCGTGTTGCAGATTAATATGGCACATCTTTGGAACAAAAGACGGAATTAACAGTCAGCTTTGTATCGTCTGTTGCTTCGTCGATACCTCACGAACAAAATCTTGACTGTAATGAAAATAAAAAACAATAAAAATATTTAGGTGGGTATGAATTATCAAACAGACACTTCTTCTTCTTCTTCTTCTAGTTTAATTACATGTGAAATGAAATGAATAACTCAAAAAAGGTAAAAAAAAGTTAGTGGAAAAAATGAGATACACAAAAGATTTGAATTAGGGGGGGCGAAGAAGGCGCGCAAGTGGTAATTGCATATGGCGTAAAGGAGACTCAATCTCTTTTCCTTTGACGCATCTTTAATTGTCTTTTTAAACTAAAGTAAATGAACATATATAACCCCAACAAGCCGCAGCTCACATTGTGTAATTAATTTCTTTCTTTCTATCAATTCCCTGCGGAAAGGGTTTAACTTTTTTTTTCTTTTCTGTCTTTGCCTTAGCTTTAATATAAATGCATTCTTACACGACAACGAAAATACCCAACCAAAACCATACTTCAAAATTTTAATAGCTGTAAGATGGGGTGTCGTTTATACCACCCCTAGTTTCTTCTCCATTCTAATTTAAATCAAATTAAATACAACAAACAGAACCCCAATTGAATCCCATAAGAATAGGATCTGAAGAGGGTGTGTGTACGTAGACTTTATCCCTACTCAGAAGTAGAGAGGTTGTTTCCTAAGAGACCACCGACTCACCGTTAAAAGTTACATTAATTCACTAAGTGTTATTTCATTAATTAAAGAAGCGCAGACCGTCCAATTGAATAACACTAGAGTATGATCTGGAAAAAACCCAGAAGTTGTTTCCTAAGAGAGCCTCAGCTCATCGTCAAAAGTCACATTGATTCACTCAGTACTACGGAATACTTCATTAATTAAAGAAGCACAGACAGTCCAATTGAATCCCACAAGAATAGAATCTGAGAAAGATGTGTATACGCATACCTAATCCCTACTTAAACGTAGAGATGTTGTTTACTAAGAAATCCTCATCTCACCATCAAAAGTTGCATCGATTCAATAATTATTACTCCATTAATTAAAAAAGCTTGGACAATTTAGAGATTCTTTTGATTTATTCCATCAAATGCGTATTGCTTAAATGCCTTTTATTAATTGATTGGGTGGCCGAAAAATTTCACTTTCACTTGGAAATGTGTGTGCAAAATAGAGTTAACTTTAATGGGCTTGGCTTGTAGGTGTGTGTATTTACACGTACACGCCCCCAAACGGACCACATGGATTTTAAACTTTTATGCCAATTTGGTGAGATTTAAACTTGATGGACATCAACATGAATTATGTTTGTTGCGAGTGTAACTCAAACTCCTTCTACCAATCAATCAAAGCGTCCAAGTTTCATGTACTTTGAAATACTACTCCTACTATAGTACTCTATATTATTGGTATATTGGAAAGTTTGCCTAATATATATACACACCATTTTTCTGTGAGTGTGAGCCATTAATATACTGGTGCAACTTCTTAAACTGCATTCTGTTTGCCTGATCTGATTTGATTTTTTGATGATCTGGTCTAGGGGTGGGCACGCGGGTCGGGACGGTTCGGGTTTCTTACAATCCCGCGTCCTGTCCCGTTATATTCAAACGGTTCGGAACGGTTCGAACCACAAGCCTATCCCACTTTGTCCCATAATTTTCGGGACCGGGACAAAACGGAACGGATTCGGATTGTCCTACTTTTTCCTAATTTTAGGACAATAATAAAAATTAAAAACAAAAAGATTGAAAATAAATGCTACAACAATGTCAACAAGTATTAATTGTTAAGTACTCAAAATGTTTCACGAGATACGTACGGAGTAATATATGTGTGTTTATATATATATATATATATATATATATATATATATATATATATATATGTATGTATATATATATATATATGTATATATATATATACATACATATATATATATATATATAATGTTTTTAGAAGAGTATATAAAACGGGACAAACGGGATGGAACGGTACACTTGTATGTTATCCCGGTAATGTCCCACTTAAAATCGGGACAGGACGGGTTCGGGACAAAAAAATTTGAATCCAAAAAAAAAGTACAATTTCAAAACGGTTCCGGCACGTTTCGGAACGGGTCAACGGGAACGGTTTTCGTGCCCGCCCCTAATCTGGTCTGATCTTATTTAATCTGGTTTGATCTAATCTGATTATGGTTATATTTAAAGTTGTTCCTGATTTTATCTGATCTCATCTATCTTTAATAAGAATCGGTAATAATCTAGAAAAAAAGCTGAACAGAATGTAATCTTAATGTACAACTTGGGATACCCCGAGTGGTGCGCAAGTAGCTTTTTCCTTCCAAATACTCCATCCGTCCCACTCTCTTTGTCCACTTACCTTTTGGCACACCATCCAATGTACTTCTTTAATCCATTTTATCTTGTAATTTGTATATTAAAAAATTATAGAAATTATATATTAATAATCTATATGTTAAGACAAATCAAACAAAATCACACATGACTATATTTAGGCTTACACATTGAGAGAATTTGATGAGTCAAAGTGCTTAGATGAATAGTTTCGAAAGTCAAAAGTGGACAAAGAGAGTGGGACGGAGGTGGTATGTCTCTAAATCAAAGATCATTTTAATAATTGATCGACAAATTAACTTCTTGGAAATGTAATGAATTTTACGGATAATTTTTTCTTTTTTGTTTATATTCATAGTTTGTACAAGAAATAACTGGAAAAAGTTATTGATGAAGTTAGTAAAGTAAGTAAAAGTTTGGAGTAGCATGGACAAGGTTGGTTTAGGTAACTAGTTTTGGTTCACAAGGTACAATTAGATAACCGTACTATGTTGATGTTTGTTAAACGAGGAAATTTTGTGGGGGCGGCTATGCTGACAAGAGCAAGGGTAGTTTGGAGTTTTTGGGCGATTAGAGTTAGGCTTTAAAGTTTTCCTCTATAAAAAAAAATGTATCAGCTTTAAAGTCATTTTGCTTAATTAACTCGAAATATTTAAGAAGAAAAAAAGACAGTTTAATGAAATGGAAAAGTTAATTAAAAGAATATTAAAATATAACTAATTTTCATATGAATCTAATTAATATTAATTCTAATGAACCAAAAATGTCCGGTCCTTTTGATATTTTTTTCGCAAGCTTGAGATTCTAATCATAATTTATGATCACGCTGTCTTCTAATTTCACATTCACAAAGATATTCACCTAGGGCTTGTTTGGGGGAAAAATATTTTTCTTTACGTTAGCATATTGGATTAAATTTTAATCATCTAGATTAATATAAGTAGTTATCATGATATTTTATCATCATACTATAATTTTGTTTTGTATATTATTATAATTTAATTGTTGATTTAATCAAAACATTTTATGTAATTTAATTATTGGGATCAAACCCATTTTTTCGATCTTCTCGTCCTGGCCTAAGATAGGGAGTATTTGTCGATTGAATAGGGCTGGAAGTGTTTTTCGTCATCAAATCAGACATTCCTATGTCAACAATCTTGTTTCTATACATGCCATTGTTGAATTGTGGCTTAAATTCTTCCTTTTTTAATTAATAACTATTATTACACCGTAGTCCATATAATTATTAACACACTGATCATTATATTATTTAAATAATCAAATCACAAGCTGTGTTTGACTACTTGCATGCAAAACTTCAAATGGGTGTGGCTTGAGGAGGAGTACAATCAACAATTAAGACTGATGAAGGTTTATATGAATTACTTTGACTATCGCACTATAAACCAAAAGAAATATGTTTTGTTGGGATTCCTCCAAGTCCCACACCGGATGAGTAGGAGTAAATGAACCAAAAATATATAGGTTCACCCAACCCCATTAGTATGAGGCCTTTTGGGAGGTGCCCAAAAACAAATCCGTGAGGGCTTGGCCCAGAGCGGACAATATCATACTAATGCGGGGTTGGGGTGAGGGCACGCGCAGTCCCAACATGTGGTATCGGAGCCCAGGTTCGTGCGGGCGTGAGCAGCGGACTGTGCAGTGTGGAAAAATCTCGGTGTGACGGTGCAACAATATGACCAAGACCAAGAAAGAGGATCCGCAGGTGGTGCCTTGTGTGTCGAAAGTCTTCCCGACGAGAGGAGGTCGGGCGGCGCGTCCCGTGAAGTTATAGCCACGGCGGTACAAGATGATTTGGCGGATCAAATGGTGTTAGCCCAGCGAAGAAAAGATCTGCGGTTCGAGCCTTGCGTCGAAAGTCTTCCCGACAGGAGGTCGGGCGGCGTGTCC